ATTATTACGATATGGTATTTCTTTATTGGCTTACAATCTCTAGTTTCATTGTTTCATTTTTACTTACTGAAAATGGTGAAAATTGAGAAGGCGCCCAGCCTCGAATAAGCGCCCACCCTGAAAGTCCAAAAATTAATTAAGCGCCCTGGGCGCTTAATCGAATAAATACGGTACACAAATTCTGACAAAAAAATAGAAGAAGAGGACGACTCTTGTTTGGTTATTTCGCGCCGTAAAGTAATTGCAATGGGTTACAACATTTTTTACACAATCTAGTAATCTTAATGTGTGGTTTTCGATTTTTTTTAGCATGCTTTAATTTCTATGTGATACGTTCATCAAACTTCGGTTTGTTACTCAGGTCGACTTCAGTGAATTTATCACACGAGAGAACAATTTCGGTGAAGGAGCTCCAGGCCAGCTTGATTAGATCAGTTATCTACACCTTGCTGGTATGACCATATGGTTCAAGGGAGGAAGAGAAAGTCTTTTTTTTTTTTTCCTTGAAGCAAAACGTAAGAGGTTATTGTAAAGGTTCTAGGAATGTCTGTAAACTCCTTTTCACCAATACGTTTTTCAAAGTCAGTTGCACAAATGGTAAACAAAGAAACGTGCCACATTCTTTTATCAAATAATTAGTTTCATCTTTTAGTTTTGGCACCTTCCAAAATCATTCCCTCCTAGTAACAAAGCTGCTCTTTACTGTTCAGTTACTATTGAATACCTAACTATGAAGATTGGAAACTAAATTTTGAACATACCAATCATAAATTAGTGGCCAATTTCGAGATCTGTATTTCGCATCTCACCTCGAAAGCTACAAACTGTGTAACGTGGCAAGCCATTGAACAAAGAAAATTATTCGTTCAACTTTTAGGAGTAGATTTTACCCTCTTTTACATAAATTTGAACAGAAAGAAAATTGCACGGTTTCTCGTCCCTTTTTAATTCTGGACACAATTATATATAGTGATAGGGTCGAGTGAAGTTTTTGCTATGGTCATTGTAATCAATTCTTTGATCAATTCTGTACTAAGCTGAGTGGATTAAGTATGATTGACTGCTTTCATTGTCTGATTACGACTCAAAAGAATAATTACTGAAAGTCAATGCATCAATCACATTTGAGAAATAGTATGGACTGGAAAATATTTGGCTCGAGGTCATGACGTACCTCTGCCTCATGACCGAGAGTAGAAGATATATATAAGTTAAAGAGGACGCATCGATTCTCTGTGACTCTTGAGTTTCGCGCCTAAGCGCTCGTCAGACAGAACTATGACAGTTTTAATGCTGCCCATGCAGCTGTAGCTCAGTTTAATGGGCAGCATTAAAACTGTCATATCTAACCACAACAAATCTGAAATCCGGAAACTCGCACGTACTAATGATCGAGCTAGGAAAAGCTGCAACTGTAGAAAACCTGACATATGCCCCATGGATGGAAGCTGTAACATGGAAAGCATAATTTACCAGGCAGAGGTCACCACAGAAACCGCAAAGGAAACGTACATTGGTCTCTGTGACACCGCTTTTAAAATGCGTTACAGGAACCACTTGTGTTCATTCCGAAACGAACGTTACAGGCATGCTACTGAACTTAGCAAATATATATGGAGTCTTAAAGATAAGGACACTAAGTTTAATATTAAGTGGCGCAAGGTGAAACAAGCTAGTTCGTATTCCAATGTAGCTAAAAGATGCAATTTGTGTTTGTGGGAAAAATATTTTATCATTTGTAAACCGCAGATGGCAAGTTTAAACAAAAGAAATGAGCTGACATCAGGTTGCAGACATGTCAGGAAATTCCTGTTAAAGAACGTAACGTTACGATAGCGCGTGCAGTATGTTGCGCGCGCATGTACACATTGTT